AAACTCATCCCAAAGAAAACTCATCCCGAAAAACCCCCCGTCAGGCTCCAGGCCCGCATCGCCCACCGCATCCAGGAGCTGGAGAACCTGCCCGGCTCCCTGGCCGGGGACCTGCGCACCAAGGCCACCATCGAGCTCAAGGCCCTGCGGCTCCTCAACTTCCAGCGCCAGGTCAGCGCCGGCAACGCCGGGATCCCTGGGAATGCTGGGAGCACTGGGAGTGCCGGGATCCCTGGGAGTGTTGGGATCCCTGGGAGGGATCCCTGGGAGTGCCGGGATCCCTGGGAGTGCTGGGAGTGTCGGGATCCGTGGGAGTGCCAGGATCCCTGGGAGTGCCGGTAGTGCTGGGTGTGCTGGGAGCACTGGGAGTGCTGAGATCACTGGGACTGTCGGGATCCCTGGGAATGCCGGGAGCACTGGGAGTGCTGGGAGCGCTGGGATCCCTGGGAATGCCGGGAACACTGGGAGTGCTGGGATCTCTGGGAGCGCCAGGATCCCTGGGAGTGCCGGGGGCACTGGGAGCACTGGGATCTCTGGGAGCACCGGGATCCCTGGGAATGCCGGGATCCCTGGGAGTGCCGGGAGCACTGGGAGTGTCAGGATCCCTGGGAATGTCAGGATCCCTGGGAATGCCAGGATCCCTGGGAGTGTCGGGATCCCTGGGAGTGTCGGGATCCCTGGGAATGCCAGGATCCCTGGGAGTGTTGGGATCCCTGGGAATGCCGGGAGTGCTGGGAGTGTTGGGAACACTGGTAGTGCTGGGAACACTGGGAGTGTCGGGATCCCTGGGAATGTCAGGATCCCTGGGAATGCCGGGATCCCTGGGAGTGTCGGGAGCGCTGGTAGTGCCAGGATCTGTGGGAGTGCTGGGATCTCTGGGAGTGCCAGGAATGCCAGAATCCCTGGGATCACCGGGATCCCTGGGAACACTGGGATCTCTGGGAATGTTGGGATCCCTGGGAATGCTGGGATCGCTGGGAATACCAGGATCCCTGGGAGTGCCGAGAGCACTGGGAGTGCTGGGATCTCTGGGAACGCCGGGATCCCTGAGAGCACTGGGATCCCTGGGAGTGCTGGGAGCGCCAGGAGCGCCGGGATCCTCTGGGAACACCGGGATCCCTGGGAGCACCGGGATACCTGGGATCCCCGGGAGCACCAGGAGCGTCCCCAGGGGCTGATCCGGCGTGGTTTCCCCGTGCTGCAGCTGCGGCAGGAGGTGGTGGTGTGCATGCGGCGGGACACGGCGCTGGAGACGGCGCTCAACGCCAAGGCCTACAAGCGCAGCAAGCGGCAGTCGCTGCGCGAGGCCCGCATCACCGAGAAGCTGGAGAAGCAGCAGAAGATCGAGCAGGAGCGCAAGCGCCGCCAGAAGCACCAGGTCCGGCGGGGAAGGGGGGATTTTCCGGGAGTAGCAGGGCGGAGGCGGCGGGAAACGGGGATTTTTTGGGGTTTTGGGGGGGGGTTGGAGGTCGGCTCCAGGCCGGGTGGTTGGGCGGTGGTAGCCAAGGGTGGGTGATAATGAGGGAGGGTCCAGTTGTGGGTGATGGGACCATCAGTGGCCACTGGGATTGTCCAATGGCCACTGGGACCATCCAGTGGCCACCAGGACCGTCCAAGGGCTACGGGGATGTCCAGTGACTGTTGGGACCACCCAATGACTGTTGGGAGCCTCCAATGACCTTGGCACCACCCAATGACCATTGGGAGCCTCCAGTGAGCATTGGGACCACCTAATGACTGTTGGGACCACCCAATGACTGTTGGGACCACCCAATGACTGTTGGGACCCTCCAATGACCATTAGCACTCTCCACTGACCTTGGCACCACCCAATGACCATTGGGATCCTCCAATGACTGTTGGCACCCTCCGTTGACCTTGGTGCCACTCAATGACTATTGGGACCCTCCATTGACCTTGAGACCACCCAATGACCATTGGCACCCTCCATTGACCTTGGCACTACCCAATGACCATTGGGACCCTCCAATGACCATTGGGACCCTCCATTGACCTTGGCACCACCCAATGACCATTGGCACCCTCCA